ATTGATTTTTCCAATCAGCAGTCATCAGTACTAGTGCCTAATGCAATACTATTTCATCCAGGGCTGGTGGTATGAATGGTGAAGGCTCTTTTTGCTCTACCCTACTTCTAACACCCAGAACTACTCACTTTTATTTCTTTGCAACATTTTATTATAATTGCCAGGCAAGAAGCTTAAGCTTATGAAGACAGATAAGTTACATCAGAAAAACCTTATGAGTGTGACGTAATTATAAAAATATGTAATATGAGGGCCTGAAAATGTTCAGTTAAAGGTAGTGGGCCAAATTAATCTGTGCAATAACTCCTTTAACACAGGATGAATCTGAACTAAAGTTTTAGTAAACTACACAGGTGTGGAAATTCAGAGTTAAGATTCCACAAAGGCTGTCCCCACGTTGCGATACCGTGCATCATTCCATGACATTGAAAAATATCTGATAATTATCACAATTACTTTTCAATTTTTTTTTTCATTAGAGCTGGTTTAAATTTTCAGGCCACATTTTTTTTTTATAAGAAAAAACAGCAACTTTGTCAAAATCAAAATATTTTATAGAAAATGAAATGAAATGAAATGAAAAATTAAAATAGTAATAATTTTCTTTTGAACTGACATTTTTATTACTTTTTGGTTTTCAAAAAAAAAACAAAAATTAAACAAAGGTGTGAATTCAAACCAACAACTTTTCATTATGATTTTTTAAATGAAAAAATAGAAATGTTCAGTGAAAAATTTAGAATGAAATTGTTTTGTTCAAAATTTTTCACTGAAATAATATTGGATTTTTTCACCAGTTGTAATTGTCCTAGATCCTTTATCGTCTACATGCAACAGGTAATCGTTTATTTTGGAGAATAGGTTTTCTATGATTTACAGGCCTTATTTGATCAATGATGGGGGGCAGGAAGGAGGGTTGTTTTCAGATGTTTGGATCTCAGCCTCATATCAAGAGAGTGTTTGAGATAATTATAGTTGTCATTGTAGTTTCCAGAAAGAAGGTGAGTGAACGGGTGTGGGTTAAACATATTCCTTATTAATTTGCCTTGGTTATGTGTTTTATTACAGTGACATTGTACATAGTAGGCAAGATATGAAAATATTGTTGTCTCTTTACTATAACAGGAATGTAGGATTGGTGTTGTTTTGTTTCTCACATGATGCTGGTATTGCTGGCTTATAAAGCAAGGATCAAGGATAGTCTAGTTTGATACATGGCTCTTATGTAGTCTCTTCATATTAGTCTGCTTAGTATGAAACATTACAGGGAAAATACTGAAAATACAGTAGAAAAAGTTATGATGTGCAGCTGTCAGTGTGTCCCACACAGATGTAGAGCAGTCAGAGATATGAAGACAAGGTAGAGTTAAGGTTATTTGCACTATGTTAACTGTAAATTTCCAAACTTTCAAATGTTTGGTATTTTGGAAATTTAGGCCCAGATTCCCAAAAGGTATTCGGGTGCCTGACTCCATCCTCAAAGGTATTTAGGTACATAACTCTCATTTATATCAATGAGAGTTAAGTGATCTGTGAATCGCTGGGCCTTTGTCCTTAATTTACAATTCCCAGTTTTTAAACATTTAATAACTACCAAGTAGAGGGAGAGGAAGCCTTTGGAAGGTCCAGGACTAATGTAGCATTTACAAACTTCCTGTGAGGCTTAAAACCTCAGAAGAAGTATTGTGATGGCATGGAGCCTTCATCTGGGGATTGTTTAATTTTAAATCCCACATATATTAACCAGGAAGCACAAATACAGGGTCAAATTCTGCTTTCAGTCAGACTATTGAAATCCTGGGTTAAATTGTCCCTTCAAATACATAAAATAAAATAAAAATAAATTAATGGAGATATCCTATCTCCTAGAGCTGGAAGGGACCTTGAAAGGTCATCAAGTCCAGCCCCCTTCCTTCACTAGCAGGACCAAGTACTGATTTTGCCCCAGATCCCTAAGTGGCCCCCTCAAGGATTGAATTCACAACCCTGGGTTTAGCAGGCCAACACTCAAACCACTGAGCTATCCCTCCCCAATACATACAGACAGCTTCCAGAGAATCCAGAATGAGTTGTGTGTATCTGTATCTGAGGGGAAAACTTGGCCTCATTCGCTTCAATGGAGTTATTCTGGATTTACATCATTGTGACTCAGAGCATAATCTGGTCCTCAGCTTTTTAAGAAGCCACAGTCCAAGTTTCTCTAGTAACTCTGTCACTTCTCAGACTTTTTTTTAAGAAACAAATTGCTCCTAAAATCACATCCCCTTTCAAAAACTAGTCAATCCACACTAAAGTAAATAGAATAAAACAAATCTAGAGTTGCCAGGCCAAGATGTTTTTGAAATATCAAGTAGCAAAAAAGCTTAGGAAACTTCTGAAAAGTGAATCATCTTTTTCTTTTAATCTCTTATATCTATTGTAATAATTAATATTATGTCTTGTTTCATTAACTTCAAACTGTCCTGAACATGTCTCTTCAGGTTCTGTAGAAGTATACGCATGAAATTTCAGGGAAATTGGTTTCCCTTTGCTGAAATTCTAGGACAGGGGTGGCCAAACTGCAGCTTGCGAGCCACATGTGGCTCTTTTACAGTTAAAGTGTGGCTCGCAGAGCTCCCTCTGCCCCCCCAATTCTGCGCCTACCAGACTGGGGGGTGGGGGTCGGGAGGGGAGAGCTCAGAGCTTCTGCCCTGCAGTGCGGTGGTGGGGCTAGGGGCTTCTGCTCAGCGGGGAGGGACAGGGCCACTGGAACCATGTTTATAGTAGGGGTGCTGAGAGCTATTGAACTAGGGTTACCATATTTCAACAATCAAAAAAGAGGACGGGAGGAGCCCCGCCCTAGCCCCGCCCCTGTCCTAGCCCCGCCCCCAT